ACGATTCTCTCCGGCCAATCCGTGATCAGCAGAGTTTACACGTCACGTTTTGGTAACGGTATGGTTCACTTGGAACCTCAACCGAGGTGGTACTAAAAAAAGTACCAGGTACCAGCTACTGTACCCAGTGGAAAATCCCCAAAAAGTGAACCGTACCGTGCCGTACCATGCAGTGGAAAAGCTCCATAATATGCTGCTTTGGTGTTTAAAGGAGTAGTTCACTTCCAGAACAAAAATGTACAGATCATGTACTCACCCCCTTGTCATCCAAGATGTTCATGTCTTTCTTTTTTCAGTCGTAAAGAAATTATGTTTTTTGAGGAAAACATTTCAGGATTTCTCTCCATATAATTGACTTATATGGTGCCCCCGAGTTTGAACTTCCAAAATGCAGTTTAAATGCAGCTTCAAAGGGCTCTAAACGATCCCAGCCAAGGAAGAAGGGTCTTATCTAGCGAAACGATCTTTTATTTTAACGTTATTTTCTAAAAAAAAATTACAATTTATATACTTTTTAACCTCAAGCGCTCATCTTGTCTAGCTCTGCGGTTCATGACAGTTAGGGTAGGTCTAAAAACTCCCATCTCATTTTCTCCTCCAACTTCAAAATTGTCCTACATCACTGCAGAAGTACCGACCCAGTGTTTACAAAGTAAACATGCAAAGAAGGTCAAACGCCCTTTACAAAAAAACGTCAAAACAGCGATGTAAGGACGATTTTGAAGTTGGAGGAGAAAATGAGATGGGAGTTTTTAGACCTACCCTAACTGTCATGAACCGGAATGCACAGTTCACGCAGAGCTAGACAAGACGAGCGTTTGAGGTTAAAAAGTATATACATTTACATTTTTTTTTTTTACAAAATAACCGATCGTTTCGCTAGAAATTCTGACTTTATATCTCACAATTCTGACTTTATATCTCACAATTCTGACTTTATATCTCACAATTCTGACAAAAGAATCATAATTGAGAGCGATAAACTCAGAATTGTGAGATAAAGAGTAACAATTACCCATTTAATTTTTGTATTCTGTGGCATAAATGGGCTTCCATAATTTACTCTGCCTTCTTGTCAGCTTTCTCTCCTTTCATTGCCGCACGAATGCTGGACCACACTTCCGTGTAGAGCAGCGTTCCCAGGAACACCACGGCCGTGCCGACCCAGTGCCAGGCTGTGAAGGGATTATGGAAGTACAGGATGGAACTAATGAGACTCAGGAATTTGCGAAGCGTCACCACCAGTGTAACCGTGAGCGATGCGCACTCCGTGGTCAGAATGAACACGCCGCGGATACACACGTATCTTGAGATATCTGGCTAAGGATGAACTATACTGACTGTAGACAGATTTATTAGCATGCCTTTCTACAGCTCTGTCCAATAAAAGGCCATAAGGAAAATCTGGATATGACAAAAATGAAAGGATACTGGGTGATGACATTCATCAGTAGGTATAACCACATGACTGGCACAGACTGACCAATCACAGGGATTTCCACTGGAGCTTTGAGAGAAAGTCACGGTTTGTCATTTCAAAATAAAGGCCAAACAAACTAAAACTTTTTAAGGCTTATATACACACCATTCAAACATTTGGGGTTTTGAAAGAAATCAGTACGTACATTCAATGAGGAAGTGATAAGCGATTTCTACTTCAAATAAACTTTCTATTCATCAAAAAATTATCTGTATCATTGTTTCCACAAGAATATGAAGCAGCACAAGTGTTTTCTATATTGATATTAATCAGAAATGTTTCGAAAATGAGATGGGAGTTTTTAGACCTACCCTAACTGTCATGAACCGGAATGCACAGTTTACGCAGAGCTAGACAAGACGAGCGTTTGAGGTTAAAAAGTATATACATTTACATTTTTTTTTTTTACAAAATAACCGATCGTTTCGCTAGATAAGACCCTTCTTCCTCGGCTGGGATCGTTTAGAGCCCTTTGAAGCTGCATTTAAACTGCATTTTGGAAGTTCAAACTCGGGGGCACCATATAAGTCCATTATATGGAGAGAAATCCTTAAATGTTTTGCTCAAAAAACATAATTTCTTTACGACTGAAAAAAGAAAGACATGAACATCTTGGATGACAAGGGGGTGAGTACATGATCTGTACATTTTTGTTCTGGAAGTGAACTACTCCTTTAAACACCAAAGCAGCATATTATGGAGCTTTTCCACTGCATGGTACGGCACGGTACGGTTCACTTTTGAGGGGTTTTCCACTGGGTACAGTACCTGGTACTTTTTTTAGTACCACCTCGGTTGGGGTTCCAAGTGAACCGTACCATTGCAGTTTAAATGCAGCTTCAAAGGGCTCTAAACGATCCCAGCCAAGGAAGAAGGGTCTTATCTAGCGAAACGATCTTTTATTTTAACGTTATTTTCTAAAAAAAAATTACAATTTATATACTTTTTAACCTCAAG